AGAGATGACCCCATCCCATCAGCGTTCAAGTGCGTGCTTCACCCCAACTCTGCATATCCAGGCATTGATCAGCAGCAGTACCTTCTAAAAATAATGTTTTATTATTTTTATGTGTATGAGTGCATTGCCTGCATGTATGTAAATGCACCTGCATCGTATAGTGCCCACAGAGGTCAGAAGAGGGTGTCGGATCCCTTGAAACTAGAGTTATGGACGGTCATTAGGCACCATGTGGGTGCTACGAACTGAACCCAGGTCCTTCGCAAGAGCAGACAGGCTCTTAACCACTGAGCCATCTTTCCAGCCCCACTAGGAATACTTTCGAAAGACTTGGGTTTTTGTGGGGGTTTTTTTGTCTTTTTGAGACAGAGTCTCTCTGTAACCCCAGCTGTCCTGGAACTCACTATGTAGACCAGGCTGGCGTTGAACTCACAGAGATCTGCCTGCCTCTGCCTCCCGAGTGCTGGGATTAAAGGCGTGCGCCACCACACCTGGCGAAAGACTTGTTTTTAATTATGTGTATGTGTGTGTCCATAGGTAGGTTTGTGCATGTAAGTGCACGAGTTCATGGAGGCCAGAAGAGGGTGTTGGATCCCTTGAAGCTGGAAGTACAGGCCACCTGACCTGGGTGATGGGAACAGAACTGAGGCCCTCTGCAAGAGCAGTACATACACTTAACTGCTGAGCCAACTCTCCAGCCCCTGTTATTTGATTTTTTGACAAAGAGTACAAGTGCTCTACAGAGGTAAAAAATCACATGAAATGAAACTTTCTGTTAGTTTATGGTGCTGTGCTGTGCACTCAGGAACTTAGGCTGGGTAACTGCTCTACCTCTGAGCTACGACATCTGCAATTCTAAACAAATGGTTTTAGAGATTTTATTTATTATTAGGGCCACATGTGTGCTGGCCAGGCATGCTACTCCTGAGCCACACCCCGAGCCCAGATATTTTTCTAGACATGAAATTATTCCTGGCAGCTTCATTTCTCTCTCCATTTGGATACACTATCCACTGCTGTGCTGGATAGCTTTAGTGTCAACTTGACACACCTGGGTTGAGGGAGCCTCAGTTGGGGAATTGCCTCTATTGGACTAGCCTGTGGCCATGTCTGAGAGGCATCTTCTTGGTGAGTGATGTGAGAGGCCCCAGCCCACTGTGGGTGGTGCCACCCCCGGGCAGGTGGGCCTGCGTTGCATAAGAAAGCAGGCTGAGCAGGGGCCAAGGGAGCAAGCCAGTAAGCAGCATTCCTCCATGGCCTGTGCTCCAGCTCCTGCCTCCAGGTTCCTGC